GTGCTGCTCTGTGTGCTGCTCTGTGTGCTGCTCTGTGTGCTGCTCCTTGTGCTGCTCTGCGTGCTGCTCTGTGTGCTGCTCTGTGTGCTGCTGGCAGTGCTGCCCTGTGTGCTGCTCTGTGTGCTGCTGGCAGTGCTGCTCTGCGTGCTGCTCTGTGTGCTGCTCGCTGCGCTCACTGAGGGCCGTGCACCGTTTGTTCTGCTGCTGCCGGTAATTAACGCTGCATAGAACTCAGCCAGCTCTTACTTTCGGTGGACTAAAGGGGTGTCAGGGTTTTTACTGGTACTGGAAATGTAAAGATAGAAACTATATATAAACGTGGTGCGGATGGTTTGCTTACTTTCAGCTGAAGTTTTATCTGTGATGACAGGTTCGCACAGTCATGCTTTAGTGCCACTTGTGTGTTAAAGGACCTGACAACCCAGATCCCGTGCTGTGAATGTTTGCAGGCGGGCTGGAAGCAGTTCTGGTAGGAGCAGAGCTTCCCTTTCCTGTAAGTTAGCAGAACTCGGAACTGTGCTCAGTGAAAAGGGAAGATGACAACCGAAAGCTTTGGTATCTAATTTGCCGTTATTGTGGGTATCAGAGGCAGGAACGGCTGATGATTTTTGTTTGCCCTCGTAGTAGCCCAGGTTAGCATTTGAATTTTTATTTGTAAATTAAATCAGACTCCCTGAATTTAGACAGAGAGAAGAGGTAATGGCCCTGCTGGCTCGGTCAAATGCCATTAGAACCTGGAAACACTGTGTATAAACTGCTCGTTTAAATCAGGTTCAGTCTGATTATCACGAGAGATTCTCAATGTTTTGAATCTCGAAAGGAAGCATCCTATCATTGAGAAATAAGATTTAAACCTTAATAAAGTAGTTGTCATTTTTATAGCTGAAAAGAGCTTTGTATCTCAATTAAGTGTACATAATATAAAGTCTTAAGGAAGCAACATAATACGTTTAATACAATTATATCCTTTTGCAATAGTGTAATTTAAAGGAAATCTGATTCTGTTAATGTCTCTTACATTATTTGGACAAAGGATAAACTTCAGTGTCACTAACCACTGCCTTTGCTACTCAGCACCCTGCACACAGGGCTGTGACCACTGCATTGCTGGGCCGGGGCAGCGCGCAGGGCAGTGCTAAGGGCCATGCTGGGGGCAGGCCATCCGGTGGCACTGGCACCAACCACTTGGCAAGACACACCATTTTCAAAATAAATATTTTTTTCTCCATTCTGTGTTTTATGACAGCTGCAGAAATTAGATTTATTTGATAATTTACTTGAAACACTGAACAAACGTTCTCTGTGATCATTTTTCTTCTGTTTTGTATGTTTTTCCTCTTAGGAAAGCAGATACGTCTCAAGCACTTGGTCAAAACAGCCTTAATATGAAGGTAGTCTAAACAAAGGTGTTCTGTAGGTCACGGAGTACATCGGTAACTTCGGTTTGTAATTTAATTGCCTTCTTTGCACCCCGCAGCTTAAGATTTCCTTTAAATTCTTATTCCATTGTTGCGCTGGGGCTTAACAGAGTGTTAACCTGGTAATAGGCACAGGGCCTCCCCATTATATGTCTCGCTATCGAGCGGTTCTGCATGACTAGTTAAAAAAGATGGCAAGAAGATTAATGAAAGCCGCCCGGTACAGAGGGGGCAGGCACCGTCGCAAGACTTCCAGTGAGGAGATATTGGAGCTGAACCAGAGCTTGGCTTTTTCTTTATCCCGTGACCTCTGAACCCACCTTACTGTCGAGAGCTGCCAGCAGAGCCGACGTTTTGATTGATGTTGCTACACAAGTCAGTCTTTCCCATTGAATTCCACATCTGCACGAAAATAGCTTTTCTAGCAGTATTCATACTGGCTGTAAGTGATAGCCAAAGTGATGGCTGAAATGCTTTTATGTAGTTTTCATTTAAAGCTAAAGGTATTTGATGTTTTAATTCAGTATCAAGTTCCTCCAGATTATGCATGTTGGTAGTACTAATTTAATGAATTCATTATGGGGTTGTGAAAGGACTGAAAACGCACAGAGCGCGTTGGGGAGGAGCGGGTTCCCGCTGCTCGGGGAGCTCCAATAAAGATGTTGCACGGTTGTTCAAGGCCCTGCCGTAGGGCCAGAGCAAAGAGGCAGCAATTACCCAGGCACTATGCAAATGGTGCACAAAATACTGCGTGGTAGTTCCTAATATTAATGCTCCTGCTGTGAGTAATGCAGTCTCTGAAATAATAGTGGAAAAATCATACATGATGGAAACCTAATCACAGATTCTGCTCAAAGGGTAAAAAATAGATTCAGCAGAGAAAATATTAGCAATACTTCAGGCTCAGAGTGAAAGAAACCTCAAAGTGTGCATCAGAAAGATGTGAGTCCAAATGCGTGCAGACCCGTGGTTCGCAGAGCAGCAAAATGCCTCAGAGGCAAGACAGCAACGTGCATACGGCACTCGGTCTCATTGAACTTCCCACCTCTGTCACAGCTCTGGACTGCACATGGGTCATTGCGGCCATCGGGGGGCTGGCAAAGGTCAGAGATGTTGGAGCCCTGCAGCCTTTGGCCTGGGGAGGCACAGCAGGGCAGGGCAGGATGGGCAGGCAGAGCAGGGCAGGCCAGGACGGATGCTCCTGGCCCCACACATGTGGCTGCAGCCCACTGAGTGCACTGCTGCTGAGGAGCCTGCATCAGAGTCCTCTGGAGCACAATCAGGAGCGTGCATTGCCTCATCCTTTTAACAAATATGTTTTGTAGCCCTATTAAAAGGGGTCTTCATCTATTCTGTCAAAGCTATTCTGCTGGGGTTTTTTAGTTTAATTACACTATCCAATTAAAACTCCTTGCTGCATTTTGATTCGCTTCTCCTTGGGCTTGAGTGGATATGACATTTACAAGGCTCGCCTTTCAAGCAGACAATAGCGTGATTGATGAGGTGCAGACGCAATGAAGGAGGCGATTGCCATGTGGAAACACTGCTTAGTGCATTTTGATTTATTTATCATCTTTTTTCCAAAACAAGGTTGCTGGTGAGAGGTTTGGGGCAACCCTGATTTCCCCTCCTGATTTTCAGTGCATTCTTGCAAAAAAAAATCTTTATTCTGCCTTTGGTAAAAATTCAATGAAAAAACAAAGGGCTTTGGAAAAAAAATCCAGATGTGTGAATCGTTACCGTAACTTGACATAGAAGTGGGCTCTTTACGGACATCTGGAAACAAGGCATCCACTAACAGCAACGCTTTGTAGGAAGCCCAGAGCAGAACATAAAGACCTGAGCTGTGGGAAGAGTGTTCATGGGGGGGCAGGGCTGCAGCACCCTGCTCTGAACATCGGCGTTGTTTGTTCCCACAGCAGCCGTGTTCTGGAGGAGAACATCAGGTGCAGGCTGCACTCCGTGTTGTTCCCAGCGGGGTCGGGGTTTCATCCATAGTGACTGCAGTCACTGTCTGTGGAGGAGACCCCCAGCCCGGCTGAGCATGGCTCCCACCAGGTTGGCCCAGTCCAGGCCTGCCTCCGCTGCTGCCAGCGCTGCACCGTGTCCCAGCAGCCTGCAGTGGCTGAGAGCAGCTGACATCCCTGCAAGGGAGCTGCGAGTTTTCTTGTTCAGCCACGCTAAGACTGGGGTTTTGATGCTCGTGCAACATGTGCATTGTTTTTGACTTTCCAGGCTCGCAGCATTGTTTTTTGAGGCAGCACTGTGGATTTAAAACAACAGAGTTCCTCCTCAAAGCTTTTAGATGAGATATAGCAGCATTTCATGCAGTGTTTTAACTAAGCTTGGCTTTGTTCAGAAACACTGCTTGCATGCATTTTGCTTTCATTATTCCTTGCTTACTTATCTGTGCGTTTTAAAGTCCTTGTAAACCCTTCTGAGTCTGCAGGATTTAGGAGCTTGATCCTGTTGTGGTCGCCGTTTCTGGGATGGTGAAAATGGTCATCATGTTGAATGATGCCTGTAAGCATTTTGTTCTTCAGAGAAGTCTTTCTCTCACTGTTTATTTCAATAACTCTTAATTGTTGACTTAGGCCTTATGGCCCAAAATGACAAAACAATCATCAAGGTATATTGAAAAATTAACATAAATTTGCATTTCCTCGTGTTTATTTTCTGTTTTGTTCTATTCACGAATTTTCTTTTCATGCTTCATCTAATTAGTGATTTAACTCAGTGCACACTGCTTTAAAGATTGGCACTAACAGATAGGGGCTTTTGGTACCCTCTGAATTTGGGGTTGATGGAAGAGGTAGAATACAAACTGTTCCTGAATGTTTGGAATACAGATTGCAGCAGAATTTCTCATTGGCCTCGAATTGACACAAAATCAGTGAATCTGGGGGGTGATGTGCAGTTGGGATGAGCACCTCTTCCCTGAACGTTGTCAGGAAAATGGGGTGCAGCCATGAGCAGTGGAGGTGCTGCCCGTCCCGCAGGCTGCGCATCCCAGTGCAGTGACCTGCAGTGCTCCTGCTGCGTGCCTGGCACTGTCTGAAAACCTGAGTTTCTTTCCTTAAATGTTTTAGCAGATGAATACAGTGTAAAATAATCCATATTTTCCAGCCAGTAAAACCTGATTGCAAGGTATTACAATGTCCCTGTTTGGTCCCCTTCTGCCTTCAGCTGCCCAGCACAGGTGACGTGTGTAACCTGTCTGTGGTCCTGGTGACAGACAGCTGCTGGAGCTGAACGGCTGTGTTCCAAACAGGCTGAGGGCACACTGCTCGTGCAGGAGTCATTGTGATGATGTTGTTGGTACAAGATCTGCATTTGTTTTAACTGCTGTCATGTATGGTAGAATCCCGCTGCTGCTGTTTGCTGCCAGATATTCTTGTATGGAAATATAAAAAACCACTGAAGTTCCTATTGATCTCTGAATTGTCAGAGGTGGTGCTCTATTGGAAAGTGGTACATCACACATTTAAGCACTCTTGGAAATGGAAATCAATCTCACAATTCATAAATTCCATCTGGCTGGAACAGTAGCAGAGCAAAGTGCCAGTTATGATTTCAATGAACTAATATTTCATGCTGTAAATAGTATGATGTGGACATGGGAGCACATAAACATAATAGTGTAATGGAGTTTCTAAAGAAAAGTCTTTTTAGCCTCTTTCCACTACATCACCTGCCACGTGCAGGGCTCATCCTGCTCCATGCTGGGGCATTGCAGGGCGGTCCAACTCAGGGGCTGTGGCTGAGCAGCTGCTGTCCTGGTCGGGGACACAGGGATGTGGGGACACAGGGATGCCGCCCTGGCAAGGGTTGTCTCCAGGCTGCCGGAGGGACTGCAGCAGAGTGAGCTCTGCCTCCTGCCATGGGATGCAGCACAATTGGTATTGGCATCTGTAGCTCTAATTGTCTTCAAAACAGCTGACTCGATACAATCCTAAAACAAGTGTTGGAAATGAACTTCTGTGTTCTGCCTCTGTCAGCTGCGTAACTGCTTCTGCCAGAAAGGAGGAGTAAATCACTGCTTTAAAGGAAAGATGGAGATCCTGGGAGGGTTCCTTCGTTGGGCATGATGAAAGCTATGGTCTCCCTTAATTTTTGTGTTAATCTCTCACCCTGTGGCTCCGTGCCCCACCCCCCGGTGATGTGTGGCTGAGAAGCAGGCGGTCAGCACGCCGCCCATCATTCCCTCCACCCAGGATGCAGGGGCTGCCCTCAGCATGCCTCAGCAGCACTGCACACCCGGCCTGCACGCAGCACCACGCGCCAGCCCTGCAGCTGCTCCGGCACCGCTGCCCATGGCAGCCCCAGCTCTGTCACATTGGGGTCATTGGTCACTGCCACCCTCTGCTGGGGTCTGAGCAGCGGGGAAGCTTGCCAGCAGAGAACCTCACAGATAAAAACTGCAGTTCTGTGTTAGTTTTTGATTGTTCTGCTTGCAGGGAGAGGTGCCTGGTTTCCTCGTACCCTTGCTACATTCCTTTGTATTTTACAGTGACATTTTCCTTTGCCTTAGCAACAGAGCAGGTTTGGGTATTATTCTGGGGAGGGGATTTTATAATAATTCTGGGACTAATTGGCCTTTTACCTTAAATATGGCACTTCTATGTGTGGTGGTTACACTGAATTGCTAGGTGAGCTGCTGCAGCGTGGCGGTGCGAGCCCTGCGGCCGTGGGCTGGCTGTGAGCTAACTGACCGTCTGATAGATCTTTGCTTTTCCTGCAGCAGGGATGTGATGGGAAAATGAACTTTATTGAAAGAGTTCAGCTGCTCCTGTAAGCCACCACTTGCCTTAAATTGAAATGACACAAGAAGCCTGTCAGCGTTTCATTGCTCCCTTCTGTTGTGCTGATGGTATGCTAAGATCACCATCTGTGTTTTGCTTCTGTCAGGCACACAGCTCGGCAGAAAACTTTAGAGAAATATTCTGAACCTTTTTTCTTATCTTTGCAGGTCATGCAATATTTAAACTTACATATCTAAGCAATCACGACTACAAACACCTGTACTTTGAATCAGATGCTGCTACTGTCAATGAAATTGTACTGAAGGTGAGTATTAAAATTTTAACGTGACCCAAAATTCTGAGTGTTGTACCAGTTGTTAGACATGGAAGTCTTCAGGAGGATCTGAAATACGGGCATGGCGCAGCACCTGTGGAGCACTTGGGTGCTTTAGCTCCCAGTTTGCTGCCCCACTCCCTGGGCTGGGTTTCGGTCAGGAATTGGCACTGCAGGGACCACAGGGCACACATGGAACACAGGGCTGCGCAGCGTCGGAGCGGCTCGAGCGGAGCAGAGCTGGGCTGGGGCAGTGCTGAGTGCAGCAGGACTGCTCCCCCCCGGGCCAGAATGGCTTGCTTTTCCCACAGCTCATTGATGTACCTATTGATCTACTTCCTGAAACAAATTGGAAGATTAAACTTCATTTTCTGCAATCTAGTATCTTACGTCAACTCAAAATCATCCACCCGTTATGTTTGCTTTGCTGTGTGACGTCCCCAGGACTGCCGAATGGCCGACCTGCTGCAATGCTGGTGTTGGCGGCTGAGCGCGTGCTGCCTTCTCCCTTGGCTCTTAGTCCGGCAGGCTCCTCTGCTCCCACTTCATCTGCGGAGTCTCCGGAGCACTTGGCAGAGCCAGACTGCTCACACAAGAAAGCTGAAAAGAGTTTTGCTCTGAGTAACGAGAATATTCAGGGGAGAAACATTACCAAGCAGTGCTTTTTTTCTTACCTTACAAATTGTTTATACAAAATACTTCTAGGTTTTTGTGTAAGTTACCAGTTTATTTTCAATTCCATCAGCATTAAGAAATATAGAGAAATCAGACTTTTCAAATTAAGCTTTTTGCATGATCAAGTGCAAGACACCGAGGCTTTATTGACCATGAAAACTCCCTATATTTCTACGCCTTAAGCTGTAATATGCAATGAAAGTGAAACACTCTACAGTGCATAAAATCGTGCAAGTTTTAAGCCACAGCATATTAACCAGCTAATGGCGGACCAAAGGGCATTTTTATCTTTTTGATTCTTGCATTAACCTTCCATTAAAATTATCTATCTGATTATCACAAAGCACTGGAGATAATAAATTTAGGGAATAGCAGGCTTGTTAAATATCATTTAAAAATGCTTTCATCAAGTAAAATATGCCAAAACACAGGGAAACTCTGAGATTAGCTGAGTATGCAAACATCATAATGGAGGTATTATTTTTATTAAAGCTGATAAAATCTTTTATTGAAGCCCATTACCACTCCCGAGCAGCACAGTGGCCGCAGGACGTGCTGTGTTGGGGGACGGAGCTGCCCAGGCACGAGGACAGGGGCAGAGCCGGGGGTGGCCCACATGCAGGGCCGCTCCTGCTGTGGTTTTGCCCTTTTCCTGTCGCCCTGCTGGAGGTGCAAGGGTCCGTGCCCTCCCAGGGCTGCATGCCAAAGCTCCACTGCAGTGAAATCCTTCCGTGTCTTGCAGGTTAACTATATTCTGGAATCACGAGCAAGTACAGCCAGAGCGGAATATTTTGCTCAGAAACAAAGAAAACTGAACAGGAGAACAAGCTTTAGCTTCCAGAAGGAGAAGAAATCGGGACAGCAGTAGCGCCGGGCCTCGAACAGAGCCTGACCGCCGTGTTCGGGGCGGGGGCTGCCGGTGGCCGGGGCAGAGCGGCGGAGCTCCAGCTGCTGACGGCAGGAGCGGCCGGGGAGGACATCGGCGCGACCCCGTGTCTGGTGGCTGCACGGTGGTCCCTCCTTGGCGAGAGGAGGTCTCCCCTGTGACACAAATAAAGAGCCATATCAGCCGGAAAGAAGACTGTTACGCTTCAGGTTCCTTTGATTAGAAATAAGAGAATGACGTAGACTGGCATCATTTAATTACTGTATTATGTACAATCACAAGAAGAGATGTGATTACATATTATTTCACAGCCTGGTTAAAATAAATTATATACATCTGTAATACACCCACGTACACACAGGTATTGCTTGTGACATGATCAAATTTCTAAAAACAAAATGTAGGACAAATGTATCCATTTTTACTATTAATAAACAGATGTAATCTTTTTCAAGGTCCATCTGATGCACAGTTCTTTTGGGGGGAGGCTGCAGTCCCAGATGGTTGCGCTTCTGTTGCTGACGTGCAAGAGGCAACTGTGAGCCAAGAGCAGCAGCCATGGCAGAGCGACTGGTGGGGGAGCGCTGAGGCAGTTCAGGTCTCTTTTGCTTCATTCTTTCCAAAACAGGTTTGTGTAGCTGCTCCTCAGCTTTGCGTCCCCTCTGTGGAAGGCACTTCCTGCAGCCAGCACCAAGGCAGCATCTGCAGCCTGAGGAGAGCGCGGCACAGCGCTGAGGCCACGGCTGGCACCCGGTGCTGGGTGTGCCCCTGCTCCTTACTGTTCTCTAGGAATAAAAACAGAGGCCTGCTCTGTACTGGGACTTGTGACTGTGCTGGCCTTGTCTGTCTTCAACATATCAGGGAACACGTGAATGGGATTTCAGGAGCCAGAGCTGCATTTTGGTTCCACTCACCAGAGGTGTCTTTCACAAATCTCTTCAAGCTGCCGATGCTGGAGCCCTGTGCTGCAGCCGTGGGTTTGTACCATGCTGCACCCACAGCCCTGCGAGCTGCTCAGAGCCCAGCCGGCAGCGCGGGCTGTGTGCGAATGTGGGGCTGCGTGGAGCTGCGTGGGCTGCGTGCCCTCCCTGCCGTGCTGCAGCACCACCTCCAGCAGTGTGCGTCCTACCTTACTTTTGTACAAAATATGCTCTGAGCCTTAATGTGCAGGGTGTGGATAGCAGGAAGGCAGCAGGGCTCTGTGTCAGCTGTCTGTTACATTTAAGTTCTCTGTTGTGAAAGATTCAGTTTTGGAAGCACATGAGTGCCGCCCCCCAGGGCCGTGCGGTCTCTGTGTGCAGTCTTCCACAGTTCCTATTTGCAAAGGATAAAACAGAAGTAAACATATTTTATAGTACGGTATTACATTTTTAAGTATTTTGTATGCACAATTGCAGCACAGACGCAACGGAGGAAAACCTTTCCAATAATGCAATGTAAATTATTCCTTTATTCAGCTTTGTGGGCTATTTAACATTAAAGTTGTTATGTGAATGTGCTTTGCCACCCAGTTTCAGTTCTTCTTAAATGAAAATGTTCCCTACTTTGGTGTTGGGAACGACTTCCATCTCCAACTTCTTTTCTTGGCCATAACGCTGCTGCCACGTTTACTCGTTCTCAGGAGATATTTGGTAGGTGCAGTGTTTTCCTCTCAGTGAAAGGAAGGCCTGTCACAATAAAGCCCTCCCCATTGGCAGTGCCGCAGTGCAGGTGGGTGCTCCCCTGCCAGGCCGTGCTGCTCCATACCTGCACTGCCCGCCCCTGAGCACACAGCACCAGCTGGGGTCGGGGTGCACACAGCGAGCGGCGGCTCGAGGGGGCCGGGGCTGAGTCTGCTTGCTCCGAGACACTTGATCACACTTAAGAAATGAATTTTCCTTCAAACTGCAGATCGGAACACACGGTGCAGGGAACGTGTTTCCACTGCTTGGTGCTTGCTGCAAAAGTCAAAGCGGGGCTCCTGGCTGCAATCTGCGCGCAGCTGAGCGCAGAGCCATCCCGGCTGGTCTTTCCCGGTAGTTGTAGATTTAATTGATTCAGATGGGCATTCAACTGGGTCAGGGAAGCAAGCTGTTCCTTCCATGCCGTGTTACTGGGCTTCAGCAGACAGGGTGGCTGCTGGCTGCCGAGCAGGGATACTTCTCCCTGAAATGCATCAGACTCTGTTGGGGGGTGCCCACATTTTCTCTTCCTGTGAAGAGGCCCTGCTCTCCTGTGCACTGCAGCTCTACCTGCAGCAGTGCGGGGCCCCGGGAGGCTCCTGCAGGGGCTGAGCACTGCTCCAGGAGATACGCAGAGGAACGGAGCGGCTTTCAAGCTGCAGTGCTGCAACATCTGTGCTGTGCTGGCACAGCCCTGGGCTGAGCAATGTGGCCAGAGGTTACTTCAAGTGATACATAATGCATGCGCAAAATCTGCTTTATGCCAGAAGCCTCTTCACCTAATGCAGAAAATTAAGCCTCTATTTCAAACTGAAATGATACATTTCTGTATCTACTTTCAAGTTAGATAAAAATGGAAGGCTCTTCAGCTGCCCTTCCTTCCAGCCATTCCAGGAGCCCTAAGTTCCGCAGATGCAGAAGGGCCATGCACTGGGAACGGGCCCTGTGCACCCATGGTTGGTGCAGGGCTGCTTGGGCCACAGCAGCAGTGATGTGCTCCAGGCAGTTGTGCAGCTCTGGTGGGGTTTGCCAGGAGAGATGGAGCAGAGATCTCTGCGGGCCGGAGGACGTCCATTGGCAGTGTGGCCGGGGCTGGGCTCTGCATGGACGGCGCTGCTCCCACCCAGCAATGGGGACGAGCAGGCAGAAGCCATCATGCCGCCCTGGGTGCAGCCCTGAGATTAATGGGGGGAGTTATTTATGGAGACATGTTTGTAATGGGCCCATGAATTTCACGGAAGCGCGCTGCCGAGGCGGCGGTGGTGTTGGGCGCCACTGCTGCTAAAATTAATGCTCCTTAAATCACATCCTGGGGCGGCCATTGCGGTGTGGGGATGGGCGAGGCCAGGGGCGGCAGTGCGGGGCTGTGGGGGGCGGCACTGCGGCCCCACTGCTCAGAGCTGGGCCGGCACTGCTGCCAGCAGCAGGCACAGTGGGGCAGGGCCACGCACCGTGGCTGTGCGGTGCCACGCATCTCTGCGTCAATGCAAAAGAGGGAAAAAAACCTCAGCGGGGTGTTGTTGGCTCTAAAAACCCTAAGTATGATTTGTGAACTCTCACAGCCTCGGTAATCTCATCAGAGTAATGGGATTATATTTCAAATCACCATGGCCTGTTCATTACACATTTAAACTCCTTTGACAGAGGAAAAGTTAAATAAAATGTGTGCGTCAGCCCTGGTTGACTTTCCCAGTTCTCTTTCTTGATTAGACAAACAGATGCTGAGCTCCAAAATGAAAAAATAATGCGCTCATTTATTCATTTTTCTGACAAGTTGCAGCAGATTTTTAACGCCCCGGGTGGGAATGCAGGGTCAGTCTTTGCCATTGTGCCATGGCACCGAGCGGTGCCTGGTGCGCCCAGTGCAAGCCAAGAGCTCAGGAAGCCACCCCAGGTCCTGAGGAACAGAGCCGGGGTGGGGAGCAGTGTGGGGGTCCTGGCTCTGTGGGGCTGAGGCCTCATGCCCGCAGTGCACAGAGGGAAGCAGCTGCATGAGGTTGGCAGCAGCCATCCCAGCCATCCCATCCCTGTGGGAGCAGTGCTGACACCGGGCAGGGATGTGCTGCCTCTGAGGGAGCTGCACACCAAGGAGTCTGGGGCTCAGTGAGGGAACTGAAATGCTGGATGATTAGAAATACACCAGCAAACACCATTATTGTCAGGAGTATGTGATAGCATACAGTAATGAAGCAATTATTAATGAGCAACTGCAAGGCTGTCATCAATTTAAGCTTTTCAGGATCACAGATTGAGGCAAGCTAAACATTTAACTGACATCCACTGGATGGCCAGTGGAGCACATGGGGCCACCCCCAGCACGCTGCCACAGAGGGCCCAGCACCCCCTGCACCCGCTATGGGCTCTGGCCCGTGCACCAGGACATCCCTACAAGCAGCAGGAAGGCCCGATGAACAGCAGGATGGCCACACCTGCTGACCTGTGCTCTCAGGCCAGGCACTGCCCACACACGAGGCATTGCAGCCCGGTGAGGCACAGAAGGGCCAGTTGTGTCCCGGAGCCGCTCCCGCACCAGCGCAGCCACGCACCGCAATCTGTCACGGCGGCTGCGGCCACGTGCTCTGCAATCTGCACTGCGTGTCAGGGCTGTCATCCGACATAATTCCTCCCCGCTGGCATATTGCTGATTTGTGCATAAGTGATGCATGCAATCCACCTGAGTGAGGAGCGGGGGGCTGGCGGCCCGTGCTGTCAGGGCAGGGTGTTTTAGTGCCGCCTGCGATTAGGTGGAATTGACAGGCCCTGAAAGCGGGGAATTGCACAACAGGGGAATTAACAGCCAGGGACTGGAGTGGAGTGTGGCACTCGTTTAATCTGCAATTTATCAGTTTACGCGTCTTCTTGTCGCAGGCGGAAGATTACACTCCAAAAAAAGCAGGCTTCTTTTTTTTTAATTTCACCCGACAGGGAAAAGGAAGAGCAGTATTTAGAGGCTGATGCTCACCGGTTCCCACCGCGTTCAGGTCGGCGCTGCACTGAGCGGTGCTGAGCCACCCAGGGCACAGCAGCAGGGCCCCAACCCGGCCTCGGAGCTGAGCTCTGCCCGCTGGGCGCACAGCTGCTGCCCTGCCCGAGGGTCCCGTGGCGATGTGCCCCCCTCCCCAACCCCGACCTGCCAGTCCCAGCAGCCCCATCCCGCAATGCTGCAGTGCAGTGCACAGAGCCCCGGCCGCTGGGCCCCCACCATGCAGCTCGCTCCGATTTTGATCGTATCATCAGAGTCTGATAATGGTTTCCAGGAACACTGTAGCCTTTCTGCGAGGTGACAGCCTGTAAAGGCAGCATGACAGATAATGTATTCTACAAGGGTACAATAATGTGACTCCGAGCGCATTAAACTCCTTTAATGTGGGTGACATACACCTTCCTCTTAACATACGTTATCATCCTGGGGGCACACGCAGCACAGAGTCGGCACCCCGCACTGCGGCCCCCCCGGCACCGTGGCTCCCACTCGTCCCACTGCCAGCTCTGGTGCCAGCAGCCCCCCTTCCATCCGCAGCTCCTTCCCTCGGTGTGAGGAGGTCAAACTCAGCGATGCAAATGCTTTTGCTGCTCACGAGCAATCTCCTTGGCCTCCTCGGCAGCCTGCTCTGATACTGCAAACCTTTATCCAACCTCCTGGTATCAAAGATTATTTATAATGAATTAAATACATTTTTAGCCGCTTCTTTCCACACTTACTGCCACAATTCCACTGCCACTTCAACTTAATTAGGGAGGCCTCGCTAAAGAGATGGGAGTAAATTCATCTATAGAAATGTATCTGTGTATA